AAGAATATATGATATATTGTCCAGTAATAGAGTGACCAGCGATACAATGTCCAACAATGAACTGTCCAACAATGAGGAGTTATATATGGCATAGGTTATAAGCAGATGAAGACTATGAGCTGTGCTGGTGGCAAGGGTACACTGTGATATTCCTGATCTTGTGGAGTTGTGACTGGGAAGGTGGGCGGCAATGTAGTAAATCATTCTATGTTGGTTTCAGCCTCTTTCAGGGTGGGCTGATAAGCCTGGATGATGTGTGTATTATGTCAGCCTCTAGAGCTGACTGCGATAAGCCGTGAAGGCTGCACACCGGAAGTGACGAGGATAGACTGTTGTGAGATTGTCTATGAAAATCATACTTCTCCCTCCCTAACACCAGTGCATGCAACTTTATGGCATCCCCAAGCATGTTTTTAAAGGATTTGTATATTTTCATGTTTGCTCTTGAGACTGTATGGAAAGACTCTCTCTCTGCTGTACTGTATTTTTACACTTTTTTTTTGCATGGATGCATGTCCCCTATGGCAGTGTCCAGCTTCTCACAAAACTTTTTTTTAACAACACCTTAACTATTAGGCTTGAAAATTGGTAAATGTATGTATCAAGATTCACTCCCATTGACTGTAATGGGGTTTGATGCTAAGGTCTGATTTTGCCAGGCAAATTTGGAAGGAAACCTTGTGAACTGAACCCAGACATATTCCTTCATCCCAAATTGACATGTAACATGAGAAAAGCATATAGGACACAACTCCAATTGTATAAACATTTGTTAATACAGTGTCATTGTAACTATCAATTAAAACTCAAATGTAACTATCATTATCAATAAAATCTTTTATCATAAAAAGTTGTAGTAGGCATAAATAAGAGTGATACACAATACATAAAAATGGTAATTTACAGAATTATACAATTCCTTTAGCCAATGTTTGAAGAATATTTAAAGTAAAAAAAATGTTGGATAGAGTAGGCAATTGTTTAACACCCCTTTAAGACTTATTTTTGCTGTCTGTGTCCCATTGTAGAAATTATCTTATTGTGTTATTTTGTTTTTATGAGATTTTTTGAATAGTGTACACATTCATGGTATCACTGCAAGAAAGTTATAATCTACATACCATGTGTAGCATACAATGTTTTATCCAAAGTGATTAATGGCTTCACATTTTCCAACTCACAAAAAAGATGGAATAACTTGCTGTAAAACTGTATCCATTACAGTGCCCAGAAACTGAAAATATTCTAACTAAAATTGAAAATAATTTTGACATACAACAAACTTTATATATTCAGTACTTAAATCACGTTTTTAAATTATAAGGTCATATCAATATTTAAGTTGAATTTATACTGAGCAGAACAAGTATATTGCTCTTTTTAATATTGTATCATCTGCAATTCACAGCCCTGGACAATGGAGATAGTGACAGGTAGGAACATCTACAGACAGTCAGCACATCATTTTTTTCACTGGGTTAGAATCTCCAACATATTGGAGGATTTACTACTGTAGGCTAATATTACCTTTTAAATGTTCATCAGCTGCTGAAAGAAATAGACAATATATATGGGAAGCTACACTATATTGCCAAAAGTAGTGGGACACCTGCCTGTACACACACATGAACTCTAATGGCATCCCAGTCTTAGTCCGTAGGGTTCAATATTGAGTTGGCCCATCCTTTGCAGCTATAACAGCTTCAGTTCTTTTCGGAAGGCTATACACAAGGTTTAGGAATGTGTCTATGGGAATGCATGGGAATGTTTGACCATTCTTCCAGAATCGCATTTGTGAAGTCAGACAATGATGTCGGACAAGAAGGCCTGGCTTGCAATCTCCATTCTAATTCATCCTAAAGGTGTTCTATTGGGTTGAGGTCAGGACTCTGTTCCTCCACCCCAAACTCGCTCATCCATGTCTTTATGGACCTTGCTTTGTGCACTGGTGAGAAGTCATGTTGGAACAGGAAGGGGCCATCCCCAAACTGTTTCCACAAAGTTGGGCGCATGAAATTGTCGAAAATGTCTTGGTATGCTGACCCCTTAAGAGCTATCTTCACTGGAACTAAGGGGCCAAGCCCAACCCCTGAAAACCAACCACACACCATAATCCCCCCCTCCACCAGACTTTACACTTGGCACAAAGCTCTCCATACACTGTTGTGCTAATCTGAAGGTCACATGAAGTTTGGAGGTCTTTAGCTATTGACTCTGCAGACAGTTGATGTCTTTTGTGCGCTACAGCATGTGCTGAAACCGCTTTGTGGCTGAGTTGCTGTTTTTCCCAGTTGCTTCCACTTTGTTGTAATACCACTAACAGTTTACGGTGGAATATTAAATAGCAAGGAAATTTCACGGATGGACTTATTGCACAGGTGGCAACCTATCACGGTACCATGCTTGAATTCACTGAGCTCCTGAGAGCGACCCATTCTTTCACAAATGTTTGTAGAAGCAGTCTTTCATGTCTAGGTGCTTGATTGTATACACCTGTGGCCATGGAGAAGATTGGAACATCTGAATCCAATAATTTAGAGGGCTGGCCCAATACTTTTGGCAATATAGTGTATATATGCTTTAGATTCTGGCTACAATAGGTCTGCTCAGGTGATTGCCCATACACTTATCTTTCTTATATATTGTAAAAGTACATGATATAAGAGGGAAATCAGTTAAGCCAGTGATCTTTAGTCATTTTAATGTGAGCTTTTTCAATTCAGATAATTGTCAGCAACTTAGATTGAAATCTGTTAGAATCGCCTCCATCAGATCATCCCCATGCAGCTAATAACTTTTGTACCACCTTCCCCTCCCTTTAGATTGTAAACTCCATGAGCAGGACCCTTCTATTTCTTCTATATTGCAATGTACTGTAATTGTAATATCCCCCTTTATATTGTAGAGCACTGTGTAAACTACCGGTATATAAATCCTGAGTAATAATAATAACTGGATTCCTCAAAATATCACATATTAGCTATAGGTAATCATTCAATATTCTACAATAACTCCTCTCTCTTATCCACGTGTCCTAAAATCATCATTGGATGCAGAATTAAAAGGAATCTTTCTGTGCATATGATGTTGTAAAAATTGAAACAGAAATATAGAAGAGTTCCCATATACTCTCTTCTGATGTTTTATCCCCCAGACCTTACACAAGTTTTGTTGCCCATTTCTGGACTTGTTCTATCTTATTAATAACTTTTTGAAGTTTGGTCTCCAGAACTGGACACAGTATTCCAAATGAGGTCTCATATTATCTATGATAATTCAGGACTTCCTTCCTTCTGCAGGTGATCCTTTTTGCACAAGCACTTTCACATGTTTGACCCGAGCACAGATGCATGCAGTTATACAAAAATGTTCACTGAAATCTACAAATTTCTGGATGAAACAGATACTTTTAAATGCTAAACTTCATTAGGACATGTATCTTGATCTTGGATAACTCCCTGGAGGAGGGCAAAACACGTCTACGTATTTCCGGTTCTGGTGGGTGCATGGTGACGTCACTTCTGGTGAATGGAACGCATGCTAGTTTGTGGCGTTCCAGAGTGATTTCCTGCTATTTATAAAGAGATTTCAATTTATCTTTGCCAGTCCACTTCTACAAAAGAATTAAGCCTTATAATATGAGCCTTTGTGACTATTATGAAAGTCTGAATACTATTTTAAACATGTGAGTGCATAGAAGGCAGCCTTTTTTTTATAAAATTAAAGTTTTTTTTACAGTATTGCACTATTTGTTGTTTTTTGTTTTCATTGTCATACAATCGTGGGAGTCGTTTCTGGAGGATATTGAGTACAGAGTTATCTGGAAGGACATGCCCAGTTACTTTAAGCTTGTTTGACTCTTTTGCCATACCAGCAAAGAGTCCACTCCATCTGGTGAGTGGGTATAGAGCATTTTTTTGGGATTGAGCACAATTTATATATATATATATATATATATATATTTTTTTTTTTTTTTTATTTATTTATTTATTTATTTTTCTGGGGACTTTTATTTTTAGTAGTTTAATTTTTATATATAATTTATTTGCGCTGTGGAGTGTTTATAAATTTAAAAATGCCCTGTATCCAAATGAAAACTGCATTGCTAGGTATTGTTGTGTCTTGCTCCCTGCAGCAGCTGTGCATACCCTGAGCTCCTCCATAGATAGTACTCTGCATAACAGGTGCACAAAGTAATATGTTGTATGTTCACATATATAGCTTTAACCTGTTGGTGGCTTCTCATGTTTGCTTTACATTTTTGCTATTATGCCAACCTCCTCAAAACACCAACATTCCCAGAGAAGGTAGAGGAATCGCCTGTGGATGACTACTGTAGCCAGTATTGCCTGTTGGAGTATAGGACATCCCTTTTATATTTGTGCTCTCCAGATTCTCAAAAAATAAAGAGTGAAGGTCTTTATGATGTCAACAATTCCCTTGGATGGTTTGTATACATTGCAGAATATTGTAATTCTGTTGCAGATTCTTACCTTTTTGTTGCTCTTCTTAACAAAACATTTTCATTATGTCCTGTTCTCTGGCAGGGCAAGTTTTGGTTCATTAACCACCTGGTGACTTCAGGGATATGGTTGGAAGCTGCTGTATTGGCATCCCTCTAGCAGTGGTTAACCCTTTAGGGTTTGTTACTAAGCAAGCTATTTTCTACTTCATTAACCACTAGCCTAATGGGCACTTATACCCCCTTCCTGCCCAGGCCATTTTCCAGCTTTCAGCACTGTTGCACTTTGAATGACAATTGCGCGGTCATGCAGCACTGTACCCAGATGAAATTTTTATCATTTTTTTGTGACAGATAGAGCTTTATTTTGGTAGTATTTAATCACCTCATGGTTTTTTTTATTTTTTCTTAAACAAACCAAGAACCACTGAAAAGTTTGAAAAAAAACTTTTTTTTCTTAGTTTTTGTTATAAAATTTTGTAAATAAGTGATTTTTCTCCTTCACTGATGTGCGCTTATGAGGCTGCAATGATGGGTACTGATAGGCTGCACTGATGGACACTGATAGGTGGCACTGATGGGCACTAATGAGGAGGCACTGGTAGGTGGCACTGATGGGCATTGACAGGCATCACTGATGGGCACTGAAAGGCAGCACTCATATACGGCACTGATAGGCAGTACTGATAGGTGGCACTGACTGGCACTGTTAGGTGGCACTGACTGGCACTGTTAGGTGGCACTGATGCACACTGATAGGCGGCACTGACTAACACTGATAGGCGGCACTGACTGGCACTGATAGGCGGCACTGATTGGCAGCACTGATAGGTGGCACTGACTGGCATTGATAGGTGGCACTGACTGGCACTGATGGGTGACACTGAAAGGCATCTCAGATACGCACTGATATGTGGCATTGATGTGCACTGGTAGGCACTGAAATGTGGCATTGATGTGGCACTGATGGGCACTGGCAGGTGGCATGGATGAGCACTGACACAAGGCACTGATGGAAACTGACAGGTGGCACTGCTGGGGCTACACAGATCATCAGGGCACACTGATTATCAGTGCCCTGATGATCAGTGTACATGTCCACTCTGAGGTATGCTGATTACTGGCTCTCCTCTCCTCTCGAGCTATCAGCGTGACAGCTCATGAGGAGAGAAATGCCGATAACCGGCATTTCCCTATTTACATGCAATCAGCTGTGATTGGACACTTTCCGTTGATTGGTGATCCGCTGTGTCTGAGGGACACAGCGCACCACCGATCGCCGCGCTGCACGCTCCCAGAGCCACGCATACGCGGTTAGAATGGGTGGACGTCATATGACGTCCTCCCAGAACGAGAGAACCGCCTTCCGCCCATCATTGTATTTATGGCGGGCGGGAGGCGGTTACATTGTTATTGGATTTTTTAGTTGCTTTAAGCAGCAGGCAAAACCCTGTGAAAGGATTATATGACTGGCAATGAGCAGTCTCAGAGCTTTCCCAATCAAAACAACCCTCTTCAGACTTTTCCATAAAGAAGGCACAGATGAACATGACTGTGAGAGGACCATGAGTGTAAGTGTTTCATTCACACTGTGAAGGGGTTATGTGTTCTAACAATGAGCAGTCTCATAGCCTTCCCAGGCAAATCAGCCTCTTCAGACTCTCCAAAGGGGAAGAGACAGATGAACATGACAATATGAATCTTGCTTTGTTCAAGCAACCATAAATGAGGATGATGACACCCAATCTGTTGTCACATTCATTAAACAAGTGGCCAGTGCACTCAAAAGGAGTTTTTTCCATGCACTCTGAAAGGGTTATATGTTCTAGCAATTAGACGTCTCATAGCCGTACCAGGCAAGAAAGACTCTTCAGACTCTGTAAAGAGGAAGATGCGGATGAGCATAACTATGCATCCTGCTGGTTTAAGTAGCCAGGGATAGAGATGATGACACCTAACAGGATGTCACATTCAATAAACACATTGTCAATACACTCTAAAGGAGTGCTTTCCACTTACCCTTTTCAAGGGTTATCTGCTTTGGCAATGAGAAGCTGCCTAGTCTTCCCAGGCAAAGCATCCCTCTTCAGAGTTTCAAAAGAGGATGATGTGGATGGACATGACTGCATGAATACTGCTTTGTTAAAGCAACCAAGGATAAAGATGATGATACATAAGAGGTTGTCACATGAGGCTAATATACTGTAAAGAAGTGTTTCCACTCACACTGTGAAGAGGTTATCTATTCTATCAAGGAGCAGTTTCCTAGTCTTACAGCAAACAATTCTCTTCAGGCTCTCCTAAAAGAAGAGTCAGATGAGCGTGACCATATGAACCCTACTGGTTCAAGCAGCCAGGGATAAAGAGGTTGACACCTAACAAGTTATCACATTCATTGACCATGTGGTTAATACATGCTAAAGGAGTTACTTCCACTCACCTTGTGAAGGGGTCATATATTCTGCCAATTAGCAAGCTCAGAGCCTTCTAAGACAAATCAACCTTTTGTCAGATTCATCCAAAGTACATGTGGATGAAAAAGACTGTCTGATTCCTGCTTTGTTCAAGTAGACAGTGATTAAGATGATGGTGACCAAGTTGTCACAAATAAATAAGCATGTGGACAAGACACTCTAAAGGAATTGCTGAATTCACTTTCTGCAAGGGTCATCTATTCTGCCAAGGTCCAGTCTTCCTGAGCCATTATAACTGGTCTCAGAGCCTTCTGAAGCCAATCAATCCTCTTCGGTCCCTTCTGAACAGAAGAAGATTAGGACTACCTGTGTCCAGCTTTTTGATTCCTTTTGTAAGATTGATGGAATGCCTTAAATACTTCCACAGCTTTGCTTCTATTTAAAGTACCTCCAGAGGACAGCTTGACAACTCCCTTATGGTGACTGAAACAAGAGCTCGTTCTACAAGATTAAAGCAGAATGTCAAGGGTTTTGAATCACCCCTTTGGTTGATGTGTTCCTTATGTGATTGGCCAGATACATGACCTTACCATTAGAAGATGCTGTGGCCTTCAAGGACTTACTCAATCACTGCATTGTTCTTGATTTTAGAAGGTGAAGCCTAAATTAATAGTGGTTTGGCTTCCTGCCTCAAGATGATTGTCTGTTGAGTTAACCACTTCGAGTCTGGACACTTTTCCCCCTTCCTGTCCAGGCCAATTTTCAGTTTTCAGTGCTATCACACTTTGAATGACAATTTCACGGTCATGCAACACTGTACCCATATGAATTTTTTAGCATTTTTTTGAGACAGATAAAACTTTATTTTGTTGGTATTTATTCACCACTGGGATTTTTATTTTGTTTGCTATATAGATGAAAATGTCCAAAAATTTTGATAAAAAGTGATTTTCCTATAACATTTTGCAAATAAATAATGTTTATTCATAAATCTTGGCCACAATTTATTCAGTTATCTTTTTAGTAAAAAAAAATAATAACCTAAATTAGTTTATAACCAAAAATTATAATTTTTTAAAAATTATTTTTTTTATATTATTATTTATGTTTTTTTTTTTTTAACATACTGTCTCCCTAGCAGTACAGTGTCACCATAGTGACACTGTACTACTTGTGGGGGGTGATGAAGATTTTTTTATTTTTTTTTTACACTGATTGCTTTTACACCCATAAAGGCTGTAAAAGCAATAATTTCTCCTTCTCTCTGGCTGCAATCTTGCAGCCATTGAGAAATACTGTGCGAGCTGTGATTGTTCACAGCTTGTCACATGGTACAAGTATGTGGTGAGTACCATGTGATCTCTGTGATCATTCACAGATTTCACACATAGTAAGCAATGATGTCAGGAAGTTACATCTTGCTTGCTACTATTCATGTGATCACTGATTGGCCAATCAGTGATCACATGATCGGGAGCTCACACAGAGGTCTCGTAGAGTAATCGGTGTTCCGCTGTGTCCGGAGGACACAGTGGGCACCGGATCATGGTGCTGCGCGCTTCCAGGGAGCGCGCACAAGCAAGGAAGCGGGGTGGACATTTATAAATGGCCATCCGCCCCTGCACTGCTCCCGCCTGGCCATTTATATAAATGGGCCAGACAGGAAGTGGTTAAAGGAGACTGAAGTTCAAGACTCAGTTTCCACGCTCACTCCAGAGAGGGTAGTTTCTGCATTTCTGTCTGGGAGTCAAAGAAAAAGCCTGCACATAATCCAAAAAGTCAGCGCAGATCTTCATGTCAGGATGCTTTCTGGTATTTTGGGGATTGTGCCATCCATACATGTCTTATGGGCACTTGATGACTCCTCTTTGGACATAGATACAGCTTTGGTGAAGGATATGTGGTCCTTTAAGGCAAGCATTTCAGGCCATATTTGGAGGGTATATATAGTCAGAGGGCTATATATTTTCAGAGGGCCTAAGTCACAAGATATGGATTACACCCTGTTTGAAAGTGAGCCTAAACTTGTAGTTGGAGAAGTAGAATCTTCTGTGATGTCATTCCCATTTGATGACCTAGTGGCTAGTGGTGCAGTCAGACACCAGCAAAGTAGCTGGAAAGCCCTAATTCAGATGCAATGGGCTGAGGACCAATGGCCTTTTTCAAGGGTCCAAGATGGTGTTCATCTTCCTGGTGTTAAGAATGGAATTTCAGGCTCTTAGCCTTCAGTCACCTCATCCAGGGTGGACCTGTCCTGGTGACATTAGACAGTACAAAGACTGTGGCCTATATCCAGAAACAAGGGGGCACTCAGTTTCTCCTTCCTGAAGGAGGTTTCTCAGATTCTAGAGTAGGCCCAAGTCAATATCCTGTAGTTATCTGCGGCCTATGTGCTCGGTCGGAAGAATCTTTAGGAATACTATTTGTCCAGGATAATCCTGGACAATAATGAATGGTGCAGACTGCCTCAAGTCTTTCGAGAATTAACGGGCTTGGTAATTTCTTCCAGAGGTAGACCTGTTCACATCCCCAGTCAACACCAAGTTGCTGAAATTCTATTCCATGGTCCAGCATCCACAAGCAGTTGGGGTGGAGGTGCTGATCAGAATGGATCTCCAGGACAGCTTATGGCTTTCTGCCTCTCCCTCTGATTTGCAGCTTCCTGCTGAGGTTGTGGAAGCCGAAGGTGATATTTTTGGTGGTGATCCCAGATTGGTCAAAGGGACATTAATACCCTCTGCCCCTCCTAATGAGTGTCAAGGATCCATTCCCTCTTCCAGTAAGATCGACCTTCCCCAAAGTCCCGTTTGTCCAACACTTGACAGGCTCAAACTCGTAGCTTGGGTCTTGAGAGGCAGAGGCTAATAGTTCTTGGGTGCTCTATAAAAGTTGTGGATACTCTTATTAAAAAGCAAAGAAGAACCGCAGGGGGAGTGTCCAGCTTTGCATGCAGTAGGACGTGTGCTCAGTGAGCTCCGCTCTGCATCCTGTTAATTATCCTGTTTGGCACCTCGTTCTCTGGCTACAACGGCATCTTGGGTCCCCAGGGTGTGCTCCGACCCCACCTGCTGTCACTTGGTGCCCTGATTATCCTGATCTGAAATGATGGCTAAAAGGGGGAAAGAAACTCGGGCCTTGCCTGAGTCGGCTTGGCAAGATGTCAGTAACCCGATCCGTGCATCCAAGGAGAAGCGGAGGGAGGCTGCTCAAAAATTCTTTTCCAGGCTGCTCACCAGGAAAACTTCCCAGAAACTACTTTTGGACTCCGCTACTGATCTGGACTTAGACTGTACAGGCTGTACACAGATCCTTCTTGCACTGGCAGACCGAGAGATCCCATCCTGCAGTTCCACAGTGAGTATCCCTCCATCCCAGTCTCCTGGGACAGAGCCTGCTGTTTCCATTGCAGTTTCTGTAGTGGTTCTTACCAGGGAGATGAAGGGTATGAGGATGGAATTGACCCTGGTGCTTCAAGATATGCAGAAAATGCGGGATCGCACTGCGGCCTTAGAGGGGAGAGTGATTACCCTGGAAGATGATTGGCAACCATTACATAGCGACATGCGATATGTGCAATTTATCGCTTCTATTAATTCCTCTAGATTGGTAAGATTTGGAAAATCGGTAATGCCACAACAATGTGCGCGCAATGGGTATCCCAGAGCACGCTGATGGTAAAAATCCT